GCGGTGCGGTGTGGCCGCAGCCCGTGGCACGAACATGTTGGCAACGCCGTGGCCTCTGCAGAACCCGGGCGGTCCGGCCGCACCGGGAAATTGAAGCTGCTGGGGAGAGCCGGGCTGGTTTCTCCAGTCCGCTGTTCAGCAGCCTTCGTTACACTACGGAGATGTGTGAAAACAAAACGAGCGGGTAATTGTGCTGGTCGGTGCGGTAAATGAGTAACTGGGAACAGCCAAGCGCTGCTCCGTGCGGCGTTACCTTTGTTGCGCTGATGGCGGCTTCATTTCCCTTTAATGCCGCCTTCCTAAAAGTCACCTAAATTAGGTGTTTTTAGGAACTTGACCCGGAGAGGCKTTGAAGGGATTTATTAAAACTAAAATGCTGTTGGCTGCTGGGYCCCTTGGGGGAGGAAGACTTTGGAAGCACCTCCTCTGGCAAGGACGGAGGCTTCGGAGGTCGTGGGACCACACGCAGTTTTGTTTGGGAAGGYGTTAACCTTTCCTCTTCAAAATCAGCCAGCTGTTGAGCAGCTTGGAGCAGCGACGCTTAGCTCAGAAGTAGCTTTAATGTGATGATTAATAAAATAGTGCTTTGAAAGGATATGGAGGGCACAGAAAATTAATCTACAGGAATCTGGTTTTGCAGTTAAATATAGAAGTGTTGCAGGAAGAGGAGATGAGCCTTTGTAATGTTTCTGCGAGGGTTGCTAATGCTCTTCTGCTCTCTYGAGTGCTAAATGGTATGGAAAGATTAAAACACGTTCTTCTTTAATTTATAGGCTGGCTAGTGCATTTGGCAGAAACTTTAGGAAAAATAACATCAATTTACTTTYAAGTTAGAGGTTCATTTATATTCGAGGGAAATAGTGCCTGTTTAGTTTATTTATGCTGCTGGTGTGTATAGCAGGAAAGGCTTCCTCGCGTTTGGTGACACAGATAAAAAATAATGCCCCAAAATATTACTKCAAGAATGCTGCACGGGGCAAGAGGAGGGCTCCTGCCCCAAGGACTTTTCCTTGCAGACCCTAAATTGCAGAAATACTTGCATGTTCATGGATTGGGATGTGGCTGTGTGTGCAGCCCTGGCACATTCGTTCAGCTCTCGCTTCTGTGCTTTCCACCCCCTCCTGTGTTTGCTTTGGTTACCTCGTAGGGACCAAGGGATCCATGAGCTGTGGTGGGATGTAAATAATTACAGAATTGKGTAATAAGGTTTTAGGCAGTTGGAAATGCCACAGAGGAGCAGTAGTGCAGAGGCAGTTTCCGTGATTGTGGAGGAGGAAGATCTTACACCAAGGTGAGCGGGAGCTGAGCAGAAAGGGCTCTAGAGCTCAGGGAAACAGAAGGGTTTTAAAGCAGAGAAAAGGGAAGGAAATGGTGAGATGAGAGGATTTAAATGTCTAGGTGGATAACATTTCTTGCAGGGTGTGCTTCAGGTCTAAAATCCATGCGTGCAGCCCTTCTTTCTGCGTTTTGCAAGTTTCAGATGGGTAATACGGGTGCATCAAACTTATCAGTGTAATCTTRCACCCCAGACACACTGAGCAAGGGGATTCAGCCCTGAGCTACTGCAAGAGGTTGGGGCCATCTCCTTGTGGCTCTCTCGGTGGAGAGGTTTAGGATAGCAGGAGGCTGCAGGCTCCCTGTTTTTTTTGCGTCCAGACAGGACTGCTGTGGCAGACTGGGGTTTGGATRGCCCCAGTGAATGCTTTACTGAGTGCAGTCTCTGTGTTGGGGGATTCTTAGGAGAATATAGCTATTCAATTTTAATCTCGTTTCACGTTGTGTATTTTCTTCCATTTTTTTATTACTATGGCTATTTGAATAAAAACATGAGCTTTATTTCTTTRGAGTTCATCTATTCCTGCTGCTTTTGCCCTGCTTGAAGCCCCAGTCTCCCTGTAACAGCAACCGTTTGTGATATTGTGAAGGGTTATTTGCTTCAAAAAACTTAGAAGCATCGGCAGGGCATCAATGAACTATCATGGCTTTGGTGCCGCTTAACTGGCCATGTGGGCAAGGCAAAGAAAAACCTCCTGTGCTGGCCATTGTATCCCAGCTGCAGGAGACCCTTTGCAGCTGAAAAACCATGGTGGAGCAGCATCTGCTTTGGCTATTCATTATTGGGTGTTTCAGAGCAGAGTGATAGGGGCAGGATGGTGAAAGGCCTTCAGACCCTGCTGCAGAAATCCTGAGTGAAATAAAGTGGTTTCTGCATGTCTGTGTCCCTATGCAGAAGGCAAAGCACTTTTCTGTTAGTTGTATTGTCTCCGTAATTTTGCCAGCCTGAGGAGTCAGAGATTCCTGCCCTGTGCCTGTGATTAATTTGGTCTCTGGTCTCAGGTGAGGTGTCCAGCCATTGGTACAAGCCTTGTGTGATCATGGTTGGCTCTTGTAAGCGTTTGGGCTCAACTGGCCAGCAAATGACCAGCCCYAGGAGAGACAATGATCCAGACACGCTGCCCTCGCCACATTTGTGGAGCAATCCTTGTTGCCCTCTGGCTGCAGCCCTTTGTCTTACCTAGGCATGGTGTACTGTGCTGAGCCATAGCCAAAAAGTCTCCCTTGMCAGCTGGTGTGGGAGGCTGTGGGTAACTGGTTACACTGGCAGGACCCTGGTCTGCAAAAGGCACAGCTGAAGGAGATGTGACCAAGGCTGGGAAGTGATGATGGTGCTGGGAAGTGAATAATCCATGTGTCCCATGTCCCTGGAGCACAGGAGCGTGCAATGACATTACCAGGCACCAGACTCAAAACCAACGGGAGGAAATGCATTTTGCAGACAACGCTGTGGAGCCGGTGCTACAGGATGCTGGGGACGCCAGGGGTGTGGATAGATTTGGAAAAGGCCACCAGGAGTTGTTAAATGTAGGGCTGATGGTGGAGCCTGTGCTGGGAGCAGGGCTTGGAGGGTGCTGGGGGAGCATTGCTCTCTGCTGGCTGCGCTGTCACTCTGGGTCAGTGTCTGCTGCTGTTGACTCTGTGGACAATGGCCTTGTGCTTTGGCAGGCTGAGAAAGCAGCAGCCTTGTCTTTCATCTTTCCTGCTTTCACAGCACAGCTGGGACAAAACCATGAACCTTCTACAGCAGAGGACCCAGCACTGCAGGAATTTGGCTGAGCTGACCTTCCACTCGGAGCAGCTTGGCCTGCGGTTGTGTTAGAGCCGCGCTTTGGGCAGGCGGAGGGGAGCGGAGGAGATGATGTTCAGCCGGAATGGTGCCCGAAGTGAGGGCTGTGTCCAAGAGCTCTTCCATGAGGAAGCACAGCAGGTATGTCAGAGAGCCATTTCCTTTCCCAGTTTCTCATCTCTGTGGTCTCCTCACTCCTCCTGGTCACCTGTGGCAAGTGAGCAGGACCAAAGTAATMAAACTGCCTTTCATTTTGCTGTGTACATCTGGGGTGTATTAGAAAGGGACAGAGGAGGCTGGATTTCCAGAGAGCAGGAGGCAGCAGTTGCCAYAGAAAAACTGCACTTTCCCTGGAGTTTCAGGTCTTGGTTCCAGCAAGTCTGAAATTCCCTGTRCCCCAGATACCAGAGTCCTGTATCTCCTAGAAACAAAGAGTCTGTCCTGACCAGACATGTGATGGGAAGACCATGTCAGCCTGCTCTGTTGGTGCAAGCTGGTGCAGCCTGGTTTGTCATATCCTCTGAGGGACTTCTCCTGTGCACCARGGACCCTGCTTGCCTTGGTGGGGTGTTTGGTAGGGACGGGAGGAGAAGCACAGTGTGTAGCTGCAGGCTCTGGGAAGGATCCTTGGATGGTGTTTTTGGTTCATGCATTGGGGTTGATCCACTGAGTGGGGTTCTATTGGTGCTTATCCTACAAGGATATGAACAAGGTGTTGCAAGGAGCCCTCTCTTTCAGGGTGCAGAGATCCCAAGAGCCCGCCTGTCCCTTCATCTTAGGGACAGTTTGCCCCAAAGGGATCTCTTGGCATCCCTGTTGGTGACCGTCCCCTGTTGGTGGCCATCCCCTGTTGGTGACAGGCTGTGGCACCATTTGTGCAGCCTGCCCCTAAAACATGAGAGSTGACCCCAAGGCTTTGCTCTTCTCTAGGTGTCTCAAACGCAGAACACACCCTGGTGGAAGATCCAGCTGTTTGTGTGGGAGCCGGTGCTTTTTGGAACGTGGGATGGCGTCTTCACCTCCTGCATGATCAACATTTTTGGTGTGGTTCTTTTCCTGAGGACGGGATGGCTCGTGGTGAGTGAGCACTGGCTTGGCTGAATGTTTGAACAGACATTTTCCTCTGACCCTCCTCACCTTGCACCTCCATCACCACCCAAGTGTTTTGGATTCCCTGCTCTTCCTTACAGATATTGCTCACACCCTCTGGTATTTTGTAGCAATTCCAAAAGTTCCACTAAACTGTGTAGCTGAAGTGTCTTTGTGAGCAGTTTCCTCTTCTGGCTTTCAGAAAGAAAAAGAAAAACACAACAACCAACCTTGACAATAAACAGGGACACACTTGTGTTATATTGTTGAGGCAAAATAACACTTTTCAGGTAAATTACAGCCACTCATCCATCTTCCCAACACCACCAAAGAAGGTCTCTTCCAAATATGTCAGTTTTGGGCTACTTGATTTTTTTTGGCTGGGGAATCCTCAGTCAGGTGAAATAGTTGAAGGAACTTCTACTGCTCGGTCCATAATAAAATCTCACTGAGGGTCAGAGACTGGAATAGTGCCCCCTCCTGATGCAAAACATTGAATTATGCCTCAAAATTTCCCTTTAAAAGAAGGAATACTTCCCCAGGGATGGGTGGGATTTGAGCTTCAGGCAGAGTTCTTGCATGGTGGACACCTTCCAAAAGGAGCAGGAGGACWCTTGCACTCTGTACTGAAAATTGCTTTGCTGGAGGGGTTGTGGGGAGCTGCAGTCATCGTGGTGGGGAACTTGGGATGAATTTCTAGCTTCCTTTTCCTTCTGATTTTATTTCCTCCTTTATTTCCTTTGAAAGCAAGTTACTGCTGGAGCAAACACAAATATAAATAAATCCAGCAAATAAAAGAAAAACTGAACCAGCTGGAAATTCACATGAAAGGGAAGGGAGGAGAAATCKGGGCTGGCAGAGAGCTCCCCTGGCAGAGGACAGTCATATGTTGAGCTATTCCCAGAGTCAGGCTCTTGCTATAAATTTCCAGAGCTGGAGCTGGGGCTGGTGAAGCTTTGCAGTTCCAGGGGACCTCATCTTGCAGAAATGTTCAGCAGGGATTGTTGCTGCACTAACCCCTTGCAGCATGCATGCATAAATAAGCATCAGTGTTCAATGGGGGAGTTTTCTTCCCACTTTCTCTGCTTGCTATTGTTGCTGTGAGTCCAGCATTCCCCCTTGGTCTTGGTGTTAACCCTTTCTTCTGTGGGAACCCCCATTACTGCTGCTGAGTACCACCTGGTACCACCTTTCTGGAAAAGCCCAAGGCTAAGGGAATGTTTGCATATGTTTNTTTTTTTAACTGAAGCGTGTCACATTTATTAACCATTTAACTTGGGCTAAGCAGCTGAAGAAAAAAGAACAATTGCCCTTTTAAAAAGAAGCGTGGGGTTGCAGTGGGCTGTGGTGCTGACCCAACCACAGCTGTGTTTATAGCAAGCCTTGGCTCAGTTCCCCACTGACCAGATAACACCGCTGTCAGAGGCAGCAGGATGCTGAACAAAAATAGGATTTCATGATGATAGCAACATCCTGGATATGTTTCTGTTTTTTCACAAAAAATGAAAAAAGGAAAAAAAAAAAAAGTATCTGGGATTTCAACCAACCCCAGAGCAGGGAAGCAGCATTTTAGTGCTGGTGATAAAAATGCCATCATGGTTAGCGTGGCCTCAGAGATGAGCATTGCTGGAGCAAGGCTGGAAAGAGGGAGTGTGGACAGGGCCTGGAATATGAGTAAAAAGAAGGGAAGCCAGATGTTAATGAAGCATTGGGCACTGGAAGAGATTTTTGATTGCTGTGCACCGGCCTGAGCGATTTGTCAGCAGGGGAAGGTGGGCTGGTGCACAAGGGAAAACTCCTGACCCTGGAAAATAAATTACAGCCATGTGCGAGAGAGTGGGAAGGTCCCGAGCTCAGAAGGGGTTCTTAAATACTTTTGGAGCCACTAAGCACCTTCCCTTTCTGAAAATCCAACCCTAAATGGCAAACTGAGCCCCCAAAAAGGGGTTGTGCTGTCCCTTAAAGCTGCCAGCGGGGTCCTACAGCTGTGTTTGTTCAGAGGCTTTTGCTCTTCACCCCACAGTGAGACCGTGGTGGGTGCAGCAGCTCCTCCTGAGTCCCTCCCTCTGCCCAAAGCAGGAAGGGTTGTTTGTTTTCCTGTGGGGCTGAACCCTCTGCAGAGCCCAGGCGGGGCGAGAGCCACCTGCCACTCCTCRTACACCCTGCAGATAAGGGCAGGCGCACGCTGATTTATCAGAGTGTTATTTATCTTCCACRCTGCGTTGCCTTTGGGGTTTTGTTCTTTGGGATCTCATTGTTTGCAAGGATCAGAGCTTTCAAAGGTAAATGTACTGAAAAATTAAAATGCAAGCTTGATGCTGTTAATAAATCAGTTGTTGCAAATCCCAGGGGTTCAATTTTGAAACTTCTTTTTGTTGTGGAAGTGTTTTGGGGTTTTTTAAAGCATGTCATTCTAAACCATGCAGACAGGCACTGATCCCCTGACTACGGTGGCTGAATCATTGTTTGACCTCATTGCTTTTAAACCAGAGGACAAAATCAGTGATTCATGGAGGAGCCCATGGACAGAGCAGGACCTGCTCATGCAAAGGTCTGCCCAGCCCCAGGCTCAAAGACAGATTCTCATCAAAGGGGCGCTAATAAGGGCTGTAAATTTGGCAATCAATTATGTTAATTAGACAAGTAGGGGTGTCTRTGTGTGTTTCTTTTAATCTGTAATGACTCCAGATTCATAGATCACTAGTGACTAAAAATGGGTAGGTCCTTTTTCTGTCCCAACAGATTGGTGTGAATTAATCTTTATTTGATTTTTTTTTTCATTCCAGGGAAACACTGGCATTGTAATGGGCATGTTTCTGGTGTCCTTTGTCATTCTGGTTGCCCTGGTGACAGTCTTGTCTGGAATTGGGGTGTGTGAGAAGTGCAGCATTGGAAGTGGAGGAGTCTACTCCATGATTTCTACCGTCCTTGGAGGTCAAGTAGGGGGCACCATTGGCCTCCTTTACATTTTTGGCCAGGTAATTAAAAAGAGTTATGTGAGTGGTGCTTCTCTGTTCTGGAGAACATGGGAGAGCACCACAGAGAGCACTCAGCCCCATTTTGTGTACCCAGGAGTGTGTGTGGCACTGTGCTGCCTGGTCACTCTTGTCTGTCTGGACAAGCCATGCAGGACATGTCCTCCCATCCCAAATTACCCCCAATGTCAGGACATGCCCTTGCCTTGGGAGGCTGGAATTAAACAGAGCAGGAGAGGTCAGGGTGGCCAAGCAAAGCTCAGTGAGGGGTTATGGACTGGCAAATTGGCCTTGGCGTGCCCTACATGCCCTTAGGGATCAGAAAAGCCTTGGCTGCAGCTCAGTAGGAGCCAGCAGAGCTGAGCTGGTGTGGGAGGGGAGCTGGGCAGGGGTAAGTGCCACAGCTAATTGACTTMTTGTGAGCCAAAAGTCACAGTTCTGGGTTTTCTGGGAGATCCCAAGGAGCTGTTGTGGTGGTGAAGCACAAAATTACACAAGTAGCATGGATAAAGAATGGAAAATAATCACTTAAACCTGCAGTAACTTAACCCTCTCCCCCCATAAAGATGTTATGAACAGTAAAATGTGGCGAGCAGAGAAGCATTTTTGTGGAGGTTTGTTTTTAACTGGCTTATAGCAATCTTCAAAACCCCTTAACAGCCCCCAAACCAAAAATAATCCCCTCTTCTCCCTTTCACTCCAGATTAAAAGCAAGTGTCCATAAAACACAAACTGAACCCAGTTACAAGCCAAGATATGGAAATGGGCCACACATGAGAATCCTTCCTGTCATATTTTCCACTCTTGCTCTCCGAGAGGACCCCGTCTGGGAAAGCAATCAGGTTGCAGCCTGTCCTGAGGGTCGTAAAAGCTGAGCTGCAGCAGCCCTGGCCCCTGGCTTGGCATCCTGTGTGTGCAGGGCTGCGGGCTGGGAGCTGGCAACTCGCTGAAAATGGCTTTGCCTGCTCCCAAAAGCTGCTGATGCCTTTCCCTTCTCTGCTGTGCTTTCTGCCCAGCGTGCTCCAGAGCAGCTGCAGGCTGAGCCCCTGCCACAGGAAGCTCAGGGAGCGCTGGAACCCCTGTCAAAGCCCTGCCAGGAGTGTGGTATTCCCTATCCCTGCTCTGACTGGGGCAGTGCTGCAGAGACTCTCAGGGTGTAGCTCTCCTGATCCAGGTGTCTGCCTGTGATGGAAGGGAACCCTCCAGGATCTCCAGGTTGTGTCTGAGCCTGTGTGCAGATGTGCTGTCCTGTGGGCTCTCACCCACCCTGAAGGGCACAGCGTGGCTCCTGTCCTGCTGCAAGGCAAACAGGCAGCTTTCCTGGAGCTCAGGGGGCACAAAGTGCTCTCCTCAAAAGTGCAGGCTCCTTTCCAGCAGCGTGATGGGGGGCCGGTGAAACATCAGAGTTTGCATCCAAACTAAACACCGAGTTAAAAATAACCCCTGGGAGGCAATGAAGGGGAAGCACACTGCTGTTCCTCATGCAGGTGTTAACTGGGACCCTTTCCTCCAGAGGAGCAGAAGAAGGGAACCAACACAGAGGTTGGCTCACCCTTTTCTCTCTCAGAGGGGTCAGTGTGGGTTCTCCTGGAGTGTCAATAGAGGGTGGATATTAGAGTGGAATGTTCCTGCTGCCCTAGCACCCAGCCTTCCCTGTTTGCCCGGGCAGCAATGAGGGTCAGTCCCTGCAGGGCAGAGTGACATTAAAGGTGGGATTGGGACAGCAAATGTCTGTCTGTCTGTCTGTCTGAACGGGGGCTGAGCTGGGGGTCCCTTTTCCTCCCGTGGGCASTCACTGAGCCGTGCCCTCCCCTCAGTGTGTTGCAGGGGCCATGTACATCACTGGCTTTGCAGAGTCCATCGCAGATGTCCTGAGCCTCAGCAACATCTGGGCRGTGCGGGGCATCTCCCTGGCAGTCCTGCTCGCTCTGCTGGGGATCAACCTGGCTGGGGTGAAGTGGATCATCAGGCTGCAGCTCCTGCTGCTCTTCCTGCTGGCTGTCTCAACGCTGGACTTTGTCATCGGCTCCTTCACGCACCTGGATCCAGGTAAAGCTGGGGGTTTGTGGCATTGGGCTCAGGAGGCATTCATTCCCTGGGGTTTTCTCTTAGGTTTGTTTGTGAAGTGACACATGGTTGGGCAGAGATGGAGTTCAGAGCTTTCAGAGGTGTCCCCTGTCCTTTGGTACTGGTCTTTTAGAGACAACCCATAATTTTGCAGAGCATGACTGAAGATGCCTGATTAATTTAGGTGTTTAACCCCAGAGACTGAGCTCTCAATCCATGCTCTTGTACTCACATTGCACTCAGGGATTGTCTAGCAACAGAGAGCATCTGTGTTTGCAGTCCTTTGTGGCCTTCTGCTGTTTAACTCGGCACTCATGCCCATGAAAATGGAGCATTGGGACTTTGAGTTATGGAGATCTTGTCCTGGGAAATTCTGAGGTCACTTAGAAGGTCCTGGGGTCACCACTCCCCTGGGTGGCTGAGCTGTGCCACCCACCCTGCTGGATCCAGGGCTGTGCTGGGGATCTGAGGAGSAGCTGGGTGATGCTGGTCTCTCAAGGAGTGGGAGTTCTCCCCTTAACTCTTCCCAGACTGAGTCCAGTGACAGCTCCAGCTCAGGCAAGGTGGAGGTTCAGGGCTCCCGCCTGTAGCCCTTCTCACACCTCGAATCCCGTTCCTTTCCCTCCGTCTGTTTGCTGGGAAGCACACCTCAGGACGTGGYTGTTGTGGTGGAAGGGTCCCATCAGTGCCCAGCGGCCACTCCAGCAGCACTGAAGTGTAATTAGCGGAGTAAACAGAAGGTGTCACCTTTTTCTTGGCTTCGGCTGCGTCCGGCAGCACCTTGGGGGGCGCGAGTGACCGACTGAAGTGAGTTTGAGGAAAKATCTCCTGTTTTCATGGACAGCTGTGATTCCGCGGCTGGGCTGGGTGCAGGAGGTGTCCTGTAGATACTCCTAGCACTGATGGCACAAGTGTCCTTTGTGCTGCTGTTTAATTTTGTGCTGCCAGTGCGTGGGGACAGAAGCAGCTGCTCCCCTGTCAGGCAGAGCCTTATGGAAAGGCATTTTCACTTTATATTTAGCGTGTAAGAAATGCCCCAAATGAGAGCCCGTGAAAGTTTCAGCAGATACTCGTGAATGAGCACAGAACAATGAGAGCGGTGCTGCTGTGATGTGTTTCGCAGAAAAAGCAAGCGACCCGCTCCAAACAGCTGCGATTCACAGGAAGCTGTTTTCTAAAGGAAACGGGGCTGGGGGCGAGTGTGGGTTGTGTTTCGRTTGTGCTCGTAAGAGATCTTTCTAAGAGCAGAGAAAAAAGAATATTCCAGGTGAGACCTGATGGCAGGAAAGTGAGCGTGGGACCAGGAGGCAAGAATTAGAGGAATAAAAAAGTCAGCAGGAAACGTGCCCAAGTTGAGGCCAATAGAGCTGTCTTTGATTGCCGAGCACTGTCATCTTCTTCTGAGAGAAAACAGAGGAGGGAAGGGAGCTGAGGGAGCTGAGGGAGCTGAGCATCGCCGGGGCTGCAGTTCAGTCATGGCTCACTAACGGGAGCGCTTCCCGTGGGTGCAGCACACGGGGCTGATGGCAGCGGGATCCGAGCCCCAAACTCCGGCAATGCACCCCGGAGCAGCTGCTCTGCCCTACAGCTTGGCCCTACAGCTCCGGGCAGGGCTGTGCCTTTCTCTGCCTTCACACGCTCTCCCCTGGGAGATCGTGGATTCGCTCCAGGCCGGGCGGGGGATCCTCCCGAGCCCTGCATTTCCCCAGAAAGCCTCTGAGTGGTGTGTCAGCACCAGGGGTGAGCGCTGTGCTCCGAGGAGCCTCCGCACGCTGAGCTGCGCGCTGTGTGTGCCGCATGGATGGAGGGATGGAGGGAGGGATGGATGGATGGAGGGATGGATGGATGGATGCATGCCCGTCTCTTGGGATCGCACCCACCAGCAAAGCGCCCCTCCTGCAAGGGGGACATGCCGGTGGGGTTGCAGCTCCAGCCTCCAGAGCCAGYAGATGACAATGGCAGGGTGCATCAAAGCCCAGCACCTGGGAAAGGAAGCATTTGAGACCCCTTTGGGGTGGGTATTCCACTGATCAGCTCTCTGCAGCCCTCAGGGGCGCGCAGTTGGGCTCAGCTTGGTTCTGTGGCTGCAGCAGGGACTGAGATGCAAAGGCAGCRTGCAGGGAGAGGTGAGTTTTGAGGCTGGACCTGTGCGCTGGATTGTAGCTGACAGCTTGCCTGGGTCATGTCCTTGTTTTATGGCAGGTTTACGGGGTTTCAGTTCACAGCYTCGGGTCTCAGTCTCTGACCCTATAAAACAGGCCTAGTGCAGCCATCCTGCCTTTTCTGCCGCTGCCATGGCAGCCTTTCCCCTCACRTAACGTTTCCAAGTGCTGCGCACATACCAAAGGGCTGCACATCTGCCAAGCAGCAGTTACTCGGATTTAAATAATCTCCAGGAATGCCTGTCCATCTTGAAGGCCTTAACGGGCTGCCTTTGTGTGGTTGGGCTGGGTGGAGTCCCCTGCTCTTCTCCCCGTTCCCGCAGCTCACACCCAGGCACACACCAAATCGGATATTGTCCAAGCACTCACTCCCTTCCTGTGGTTTGCCTTTATTTTTAGTCTGAGGACRGAGCATGTTTACACAAAAGGGGGCTTCTCAGCAGGGCTTCCTGCTGCTCTTTCTCCTTTTTTTTCCTCTCTCTTGCTGTGGCTCGCTCCTGCTCCAASAGCTGGGGTGGAGGAGCTCAGTGGCTCCAGCAGACAGGGAGTGCTCTGGGTCACTTGTCCGGATGCTGCTGACCCCACTGACCCTGTGTGCCAGGCTGCCCTGTCCCTCTGTCCCTCTGCCTGGCCCCCAGGGCTTTTRCTCCTTTCCACAGGCTGCCTGCAGGGTGGGGTGGGACTGGCTGATTTTTTGGAGTTAATCCTAAATCCTCCCTTGGCTCCAGCTGGCGCTTCTCCTGGGGGGCACTTGGTCACAGTTCCAGGCTGGGATCTCTGCCAAGGGTGGGTAGTAAAGASAGGGGCTCCCCTTTCAGTCTGAGAGCCAGCCTGAGACCCCTGTGCTCCTTCCTTCAGACAGGAGACATCCCTGTTCCCTTTCTGTCTAGGCACAGGTCAGTGTTTTTACTGAATCTAACACAGAATTGAAATCAGTCAGTGCACAGCTCCTCAACCCATAACCAAGAGCCAGCACTGGCTACAAACTTTCATATTTGTAATGCAATGCAGGGTGGTTTTGGCTTGTGTACATCTTTGGTGGTGGAGGTCCATGCCTCAAAATCAGCCTGAGTTAATTTGGGAGGAGCAGTGAAAGTGGAGGAGAGGATGCTCCTCTCCCTGACCAGCTCCTCAGAACAGCATGTGAAACTTTTTGGCCTTTTCACGTCCTGAACTTTAGAGTCATGGAAAAAAAAAGAAGATAAGCCTTCTGTTAATGCCCACCCTTTTATTTTYGTAGCATATCTCTGCTAATTTTTGTGTAGGGTGACTCCCAAATACTCCCTTTCAATCAGGCGCCTGCTTTCCTGTTTTGGCAGTGGCTCCCAGGTGCCCTGTTAGAGCAGCGTGGCTGTGGGAGCTCATGGGAGGGATCACTGGSAGGAGGGCTGGTGTTAATTTGGCTGTGCTTTGATGGAGAGATGAAAGGAATCACAACATGAGCGAAAGGGGCCCAACTGCAGCCCCTCAAATGCCTGGCAGGGGASAAAAATAAATTATCTTGTTGGTAGTTGAGTAATTGTGTCCCCTTGGGCTGGGATCCCCCTGTCCTGCAGCAGATGGTGTCACATGGTTGGGGTGAGTGTGGATTTTGGCTGTGTGGGGCTAAGCCCCTCTCCTCAGGCTGGAAAATCTGGGAAGTTCATTTCTCAGGGAGGTTGGAAAGGCATGTTGCTGTCAGGGTGCTTCTGCTTGGGATTATTTTCCATGCAAACCACATCCTTCATGTCACCCGCTCGGGTTTTAGCTTCCCCAAGTTTCTCACATGGAGCCCAGAAAACTCATTTATCATTTTCATTTATTCCTCTGAGGGGACAAGTGCTTTAGAGGATTCCTGCCCCTCTGATGCTCTGTGGCTGAGCTGGGGAGCTGATGCTCTCCTGTGGGTACCACTGGTGGGAGATGAGCCTTGCCTGGAGCTGCTCCAGCAGACAGGGAACCTGCAATGGTTGAAGTGATTTATGTATATAGACACTCTGGTGCTGTAMAGATCCCTCAAATGCTGCCTCTTGGGCTTTGATGGACTGAATTAATTAAAAATATTCCCACAGATTGAATACAAAAGTGTTCAAAGCATCCTAACCAGGGGATTTTGCTTGGCTCTGGCTTGTTTCATTTTATTTTTGGGCACCAGGGGTGTGCCCCAATATCATAAGAGAGGGTGCAGGAAGGATGTGTGTGTCAGAAGATGATCTGCAGCAAATCCCAGAGGTTTTATCCAGGCTGATTGCTGACTTCCTGGCCTGAGACACATCTGGAAACTGGCATCAAATTCCAAGTAGAAATCACTGCTCGAGCAGCAGCAGAAAAAAAAATAAAATCCCACTTTGCTACCGAACAAGGTACACACCGTAGTGAATAAAGGCAGGAGGCTGCTAATACACTCTTTATTTATTAAAAAACACAGGATTGCTTTTCCCAGGTTTTTCCAATTATAGTGCATTGAATGGCCCTGACATCACTCTTGAGCCGGGGCCAGCCTATTCAACAGTCTGGCGAAGACATTTATTAACTGGTTACCTGCCAATTGTCTGGGCTAGGAGCTGCGGGACAGATGTGTTTTGGAAAGTGATAACATTGTTAGAGGCCTTATTTAGATAGTGAGAGGAAAGCTACCCCACGCTGTCCAGGTTCTCTGACAGTATCAGGTATTTAGTGTGGCTTATTCAGAAGTGGACAAAACTCAGTTAGGTTGAGATGTAACCCTGCTGCCCTGTTTTTGGTAGGTGTTCTCGGTGTTTCCTTGCTGGGGGACAGCCAGCAGTGGGATTAYTGGGGAGCAGTGGCAGATGCTCAGGTGTCAGCAAAGCTGCTGCTCCC